TTTAAATGAGAAATTCATTTACCCTGTCTACTGAACAGGTTCCTTCTTCCATAATGTATGGGTAGTCCTCCTCGCTGTGGAGCCCACCGCTTTGGACGATGTAAGTAAATGCGTAATCCATTAGTCCTCCATTGCACCCGCTGTTGGAAGTCGTGTCACAGTCGATAAGCTCTTGCTCGGACAATTCGGTCAGATTCCCAGTCACGATTTGGTTTATGCCCTCAACTGCCGCAACAGTCGAAAATGCCCAACAACTCCCTGTACAAAATTTCATAATTTAAAAAAAAAAAGTCATTACAAACAAATTATTTGCATGATAAACAATGGAAATTATGAAAAAGATGCGTACCGCAAGAACCCTGGTTCTTGACCCCTGTAACGGCTCCTTTCTTTCTCCAGTCGACAGATTCCGGAACGTTCTCAAAGTCCCTATACTTAAACTCCCGAGTCGACTCGCCACGGTTGGGGAGCCTGTCGACTTTGAGACCCAAATACTTCTTCTTGAACTCCTCATGGCTCAAGTCGGCAAACTCGTTCAAGCCGAGCCAGTAGTTGGCAACAACCTTATTACGCTCGTCAATGTGCTTCAAGTTGTCCTTGAAAATCTCGAACTTATGCAACTTCTCCTCGATGTTCTTGTACTTCTTTCCGTGTTTGTCTATCCACGAGTCGAATAGGTTGATGAGCTTGTCGATGCAAGTGAGGTCGTCGGGAGTGTAGCCCACGATCGAGAAGTCATGGGCCCGGGCCAAGGCCGAGAGGGAGAGTAAGACGAGGCCCGCGAGGAATAGTAGGTTGGGGGATGATGGGAAGGCCATGCTTGGTGTTTTCTTATAATTGTGTTTGTTGTTTAGGATTTGATGGGATGGGATTGTGTTTGGGAGGGGATTTTATAGGTGTGGGATTAAGAGTTAAAATGGTTGTATGGGTGGTGTTTGCTTGCAAGTGAAGGTGGCTGAGGCTTTAAGGTTGGTTCTGTTTTGAAAGTCAGGCTTTGATTGGAAGCATGTTGTTTGAATTCTGTGAACATGTAATAATTTTGCTACATGGAGAATGTATTGGAGTAATTAGAGGATGTGTTGGGTCATGATAAGAAAAATGGGTACTTTCTGGTTTTGGTGATTCATTTGAATGGATGTTTTCTAAAATCTATTTAGTTATAAATATAAAGACATAACAATATGGTTGAAATTGGGCCAGAATATTTATAAATATATATACTAGTACAACACCTGTGTATTACACGGGTGCTTGTTAAAAAATTATTCTTAAATTTTAAAATTAGTGATAAAAATTATTTTAAATTTTATTTAGTTTTTTACAAAATAATATATATTAGTATATATTTTAGAATGACACTAGTTACTTGTGTGACTTACATGTGTCACCCATCCCTACTGTGAAAAAGAAAAGCTTCGTAACCAGTTCAAGAGAGGAATGCCTCACATTATAGTAATTTTTTTAACTTATATCGTATAACTAATTGAAATATAAATATATTAAATGATAAAGAACTTTATTTGTTAATTAATATTAATTAATATTTTTATTATTGTCATAAAGATAAATATAATTTATTTTTTTATACATACAAAATGGATGTTAAATCAAAGTTCATCAAGAGATGGTTAATTTGATATATTATACATTTGAAACTGATAAAAAATAAAAAAATTATTAATTTTTGAAATATATTTACAATTCAATAGTTATAATAAGAATTAATATTAAAATACAATTAATACATGTAACATGACCATAAATAATCAAGAATTAATATTAAAATACAATTAATACATGTAACATGACCATAAATAATCAACATATTTATGGATAATCTGGGCTTAATTATTTTTGGATGGAAGTAAATTAAAATCTACCCAAGCCTAATTAATAACGAAATATATAATTTTGCCACATAGGATCCCGAATCATGCGAACCTACAATTTTTAGGCTCAGCATGTTTTGAATTAATATGTGGGGATATATGGAATTATGAAAATAATAATTCCTTGGGTTAAAGTCTACACATGAGTAATCATGTTCATAAAATTTAGCTCCATATTTAATCAAGTCGCAATTTCCTTTTTTTTT